ATAAAGGTTGGTTCTTATTGTTGCTAGTGTAATCACACTAAAACCTAAGGGTTTATTAGCTTGAGACCTATTTTCTTCTTCCTTTCTTTTTCTATTTCATCTCGATCTTCTATCTAATCTTCTCTCTAAGATTTCCCTTTCTCATTATCTTTCTTCTCCAAATATTTTTCTAAGGTGTTGTTGTGCCCCATTTGTTGGTTTTTGCCATAGCACCAGCTTGAACTAGAAAATAATTTCTTTGGTGAACCACTGTTTCAATTTTTCCTTTGAACATATTCTCTATTTTCATGATTTGCATATGAGGTGACCTTATAAGGTTGTTCTGAGGGTATTTTAATTTAGTTATTTGGTAATTTTTAATGGGGGGAAAATTTATCGCCTCCACACAAATTTGTATTTCTTTTATTTCATAATCAAATACTACATTGTGAATAAAGCATAGTCTTGAGAGACTGACACATTATTCTATAATGAATTTAATATTAAAATAGGGTTTTAGAAAAAATATTTCTATGATCAAACACAATTTGAAAAAATAACATATCATCTCGAAAGATGAATATGCAATTTTATAGTGTGTTTAAAAATAGAAATAGGGTTTTGACAATTTATCCATTGTTTTGATTAGATACAACAAGGAGAATATTTTATCGTCCTAAAAGATGAACATAACAATCTTCAAGACATCCAAAAAAAAAGAGTTTTATAAAATTCAATATTTCTAAAGGAAAATATAATAAGTAGACTATTATATTACATGAAAAGATAATAATAACATTCTACAAGTAAATTTAAAATTATAAATGAGTTTTTAACAAAATATATGTATGCCGAGAGATTTTATACTTATTTTATATGAATAAAATAAATTTTATTTTAATCTAGAGTTATTAAATCCTTATAGAGGCAAGCCCCTATAGTTAATTACAGCTTAGAAAGGGCGCTCTTTAAAAAAATTATCAATTAAAGTAGTGATTTCGTACCCTTTCAATGCAAATTATAAGATAATGAAAGAAGAGAAAATTTTCAAGGAGAAAGTTCAACGTTGAACAGTTATTAACGAGTCAAATGAGAAAAAAATAGGATGTCCTAGATTCTAAGAAGCTCAGCGGCAACCTCAGTCTACCCTATGTTGGACTTTACATTTTATGAGAGAATTTATATATTTGAGTTGGCATTTTATAAAAAAATTTGGATTATATTCCTAGAAGGTGGGGACTTAAGATTTAAAAATCTTCCTCAGAACCTAACTGTAAATTAGGTACTACAAAGTAGTGACCCAAAGTTATCTAATGAAGTGCAAATTCGGACTTAGCCTAGCCTGGATTGGGGAGCTAGCTAACCACCTAGGCGCTTTAAAACTATATGTTCAATCTTTTTATGAAAGATGGATAGGGATGCTATTTAAATTTTAAGGAATTAGGGACTTACATCTAAGAAAATCCTAACTGACCCCTCAACTTATATAGGGTGTATGATATTTAACAGCAGAATGTAATTAAAATTTTTTACTCTTTTAATTTTTAAGTAATATAATGCATGCTAATTGACTCGAATGTATAAAATGATTATGAAGCAATTTTAAAATCAAGCTTAAAAAATATTTTTTTCCTAGAAATTACATAAAATACCCTCGACAGAACTATACCCTAATAGACCAAATGGTCTGCCAGAACCCGCATGTAAGGAGGTGCCTAACAAGGAAGAGAAAGAAATAATTTGTATATATGCTAATTCTCGACGATCCTGAGCTTACTTCTTTGATCTTTGGAGTTTCAATGTGAGCCTAAAAATTTAATTCAAGTTTCAATTAAAAAAGACTTTATTCATGTCCTCACAAAAACTCCGATCGTATCCCTGCTAAAACAAAACACATCATGCAAGAAAACATAAAAAAGAAATAATTTCTACAACATAAATAATGTAAACAATCAAATTAAATTATCCAAAATATAATGTTCAAAGTCTATATGACAAATGACATTTTATTTACAACGCAATGTCTGTAGAAAAGTAAAATGGTCGAGTACCACTAACAACAAACTTGGATTCTAATCTTAAGACTAACGCATGTGATTTTGAAATGGGATATCTCTTCTTTTATTCACTTATTCGTCTTCTCTCCTTAGTCTTCTTTCTTTCTACGAGCTCCTTGAATTCATCGAGTCTGGATATTCAAATGAAAAAAAACTTGCCCCTGAAGGGGTATTTTCTTTTCCTTTTAGATATTAAAGTCATCAATACATAGCTTTCCAAAAAGAAGAAAATATTCCTCTAAGGGACATTCTTTTCTCTTAGGATTCCAAGTTGAATGTGATATCCCACTTTCAATTCACTTTCACATTACATCCCTTTTTCAAACATATTTACATTACATCCCACGTAAAGAAAAAAAAAATCTAGATCACCTACAAAATTAACCTAAATAGTTATAACAAAATCATCCCAAACATTTATATGTTTAAATTTAAATTAAATTCATCAGCCATACTTAGCCATACTCTTTTAATTTTAGAGGAGGCTTAGCATTTTGCATATGTAGAATATTATGTCAATTTTCAATCTTTAATTTGCCCCCTTTTATTATGTCAGAGCTTAAGAGATTAACTAATTGATTTTAGGAGTTTGATTTAGTGCTTGATTAAATTTGGATCAATTATTGGATCAATTATTAAATTTTATTCTAAATTTTATGTTTAGGTTTGAATTGTTAATTTTTAAATTTTACTTATTTAGTTTATTTTATTAATGTATTTTTTTTAAATTATTATTTTTATATGTGATTAATTATGAATGAATTTAAAAATTAAGTGAATTAAAACTTAATATATTTTTTTAACTTTGGTATCTAAAATTTTTCAAATTTTTAATTTATTTTTATTTAAGAATTTTGGATTTTGTTTCACTTTTTGTTAATTTGTTCATTTACTATTTGATTCACGAGTTATTAAAGTATTAATTAAGTTTTATTTAAGCTTAAGTTTAAATTTTGCCTGTTAATTATTATGTATATTAGTTAGAATTTTTTTAATGAAAATTAAGTATTTTCTCTCCTTTTTCCCCCACAGCAAGGTAAAGAAGCCCCCACAAAAACTCCTTTCTGTCGACCCTGATGAGGTAGAGAACCAAACTCCTTTTGCTTTCTCCTAAAGAAGGCAGAGAACCTTAATCGATTGCTGAAGCTCACCTCTCTCAACCTTCCAAGGATAAGGGACGACGATAAAAAAAGACGACTTTGTACCTTTCTTGGAGCAACCTTTGTGAAACCCCCTGACAAACGCCCCCTCACAAGTTCCTCTCTCTCTCTCTCTCTCTCTCTCTCTCTCTCTCTCTCTCTCTCTCTCTCTCTCTCTCTCTCTCCCTCTCTATCCCTCTTCTCTAGGCTCTCTCAGGTCAAAACAACAACAAAACATTCTTGGACTTGAGAAAACACGAGTCCTTTAAATAGATTTTTAAGAACCAACTTTTTAAGAAACAACAAAAGATTCTTATCATCCTGTATGATAAGTACAAATTAAGCTCAATCAGCCAAGACGATCAGAGATGAACATAAGAAATTTATTCATATCAACTATCATCCTGTATGATTAGATCAAATCATAGATTATCGGTCAGACAATCTAAGAAGGTCTGGACGATCCAAAAATAGTTTGATCGTCCGTTCCGATCTCACAATCATCCAGGACGATTAGTTCAAAACCGAGAAAAATCATCCAGAATATCGCTCTGAATAAGAGCTGGTCGATGTTGATCATCCAGGAGCAACTAAAGTTTTTTGAACTGATCATCCAGGCTGATCCTATAAATGTCCGGGATGATGTGATCATATCAATAGGCCTTAATTACTTTCCTTAATTATCAGAGTAATTTAGGCATAATTGTGTTGCATCGTCCAGGACGATGTATTGGATCATCCTGGACGATGTTCAAAAATAAATAATACATAAATAGATCTGGCGACTGATTCTTTCTGATTTGAGCATATCGTCCTGTATGATACAAATATCATCTAGGAAGATGCACTTAATGACGACTGCCTTAACCAGGATGCCCTAATTAGGGTTTCTATTTTTAGCAGATCATCTAGGACGATTTTAGGATCATTTTGGACGATGTGATCAAAACAGAGAACTCTAATTTAACAATTAAAAAATTTCCAATGTGTGTGTTTGTGTAAGGTTACTTAGCATTAGGAATCACTTTGTTTACAAACAATTCAAGTAAGGGAAAAAATACAGACTGACTCAGACTTAATCTATCCAATCTTGAGCTGGCTTGAGTTGCACTTGATCTTGTGGACCTGAAAAGTTAGTAGGAACGGCAATCGTAGAAAATCATGAATGTTTTCTATCATCAAAAGTCTAATTATAATTTAGGTTTGATTAATGTCAAATTAAAAGTATACATTAATCCTAAGGTAAAATGTCACTAAGTTTTTTATGTTTATTATTTTCTTTCTTAAAGGGTTCATGCATGCTAAATTTAAGTTCTGTAAAACTCGTATTTAATTTTTATATTTAAGTGTCGCTAATGTTATATAGAATGAAAAATGTTATTCATAATCCTTCAGACATACATGCACATGTAAATATGTTTAGCGTTTTAAATAACAAAATAAAATCTAAATAGAAGAACAAAAATAACTTGCAAGTAATTTTGAATTTAAATTGCATAACAAATAAAACTAAGGTTTCTATAGGGCCCTAAAGTTGGAAATTTGCAAAATCACATCAAGGGTTTTGAGCCTTAAGGCTATCTATTTTTTCCAAATTCTCATAGAATATAAGAGACAACGTCCAATGATTTCGTCCATAGCACCTCTACCCAATTAGATAGAGGTGACTGACACCTTTAATCCATTTCCTTTTGTTCACTTATACGGTAACATTAATCGTAGTTCATACACACAAAGAAAGTAAAAGATGCATTTGAAGCACATTTAATAATTAGAATTCAAATAATTGAAAAAATATTTTTTAAATCCAAACATACCTTTTTTCGAGCTTGCACACCAGTTTGTTTCCTCCAATCTATGCATAAAGTTTTAAACTATACATCTCAGGATACAAACCACAATAAGTATAGTATTATACAGATTTTACAAACAAAGAACTTAGTTTCAAACGACATGGATTTTTCCATAAACACATGCATGATTCATGATGTTATCTATTTAATCTTGAAGAATAAGCATTCACAAGTAGGATAGTACTCAACCCAAACAAGTGCAAAAAATTAAGTGTAAAATGATAGAATGTTTGTTAAATAACCTCATTTAATAGGCTAACCATCCAAAAAAAATTATCCATAAAAGAAAGAACAATAAGAGGGAGAAGAGTAGAAGAAGAATCAAGAAGAAGAGGAAAAGAAGAATCAGAAAGAAAAGGAGGTTTACCACTTCCTCTTGTCTCTAGTTGAACAAACCGGAGGAGGTCGGGGTCCCTAGGGCTAGATATCGTATGGGAGAAAAAAAGGAGAAGCCAATCCGGTTACTCCATGCATGCGAGGGGAATGAAAAGGGGGATAAGGGTTTCGGTTAGGGCGCATCAACATCCAGCCTTGGCATCGTGCGAAGCAAGGGAGAAGGGTCAGGGGCAGAAGTTCTGAAATGGGAGGAGATGGGACCTAAGAGCCTTTCGACTAAGAAGGCGGGGCTTGGGGCTTTTTGCGAACTACCCAGGAGATGGTCCCGATTTCATGAATAAAGGGGAGTGGAAACCTGTGGGTTCTGGTTCAAATGGTTCTAATATTATCATCTTATGCTCTCCAATCTAACTCAATCTAAAGGTTGAAATCTATTTGTATTATTAAATAAAAATTAGGGCCTGATTTGGTTAAAACGAAGTTGGAGTGACCAAATTTTATTAGATGAAGTTTTGTGATTGTAATTAATCGAGTGAATTTGAGTTAATTGAAACCATTGATATTAAATTGAATTCGAATTGTGAGGGTTTAACTAAATATTGAGTTGATTTGATTTTAAGGGGGTTGAGACGAGATTAGTTTTTTATTTAATCAAAGTCGTCATTTGCTAAAGCAAATTTCATTCAAGTCAATTTTATTTGAATTAGTGGTGATTAGATTGATTCAGGAGGTTGAGTCAATGCTACGTCAGTGGGCATCCACTTGTTTAACTAATCAACTTGCCAAGGTGGTTGAGGTGGCATGAAGGGTGGTGTGGTGAGCTGGTTAAGTGTGTTTGAAGGTGGTTTGATGATAGAAGGTTTAATGTCTGAATGTATTGCATGTGAATGAGATGGAATTTGACCAAATATACAAGGTTTGCTTAGTCAACTTATCTTTAGTTTGATTGATTCTGACCTTTTGGATAGAGGATTTAAAAAGGGTACTGTAGATACTACAATCTTTTTACAAAAGGTCAGAGAAAAAATTTTTATTGTTCATATTTATGTGGACGACATTCTTTTTGGATCTTCAGATAAAATGTTGTGTGATTAATTTTCAAAAACAATGAGTAATGAGTTTGAAATGATCATGATGGGAGAACTTAATTACTTTCTTGGCTTTAGTGTAAAACAAATGGATAACAGAACTTTTCTTAGCCAATAAAAGTACATTAAGGATGTTTTGAAAAAATATGAAATGGATAGTGCTAAACCCATGAACACCCTAATGAGCTCAACGATTCAATTAGACAAAGACCCTAGTGGAAAATCATTAGATCAGAAAAAATATAGAGGAATGATTGGATTCCTTCTTTACCTGAATGCAAGTAGACCAGATATAATGTTTAGTGTGTGCCTTTGTGCCCATTTTAAAGCCGATCCTAAATAGTCTCACTTAACTGCGGTCAAGAGAATCTTTAGATATCTACTAGGCACCCCAAACTTAGGAATTTGGTATCCTAGGCACAACACTTCCTTTGAAATCTTAGGGTACTCAGATTCTGATTTTGTAGGATGTATGATAGATAGAAAAAGCACCTCTGGTACCTGCCAATTCATAGGACAATCATTAGTTTCTTGGTCCAGTAGGAAGCAAAACTCAGTAGCACTTTCCACAGCCGAGGCAGAATATATTGTAGTAGGAAGTTGTGTTGCACAGGTACTATGGTTAAAACAACAAATTCTTGATCTTGGCCTACCTATTGGAACCATCTCGATCATGTGTGTCAACACAAGTGTAATTTGCATCTCTAAGAACCCAATTCAACATTCTCGAACGAAACACATAGACATTAGACACCATTTCATTAGAGATCACATTGCTAAGGGAGATATAGAATTGCATCACATCGCTACAGGAGATCAATTAGCGGACATATTCACAAAACCACTACCATTTGACACCTTTAGCACACTGAGGACTAGATTAGGTGTCATTGACATTACTGCATAAAAAAATAAAAAAATAAAACAAAAAAAAAAATCTCTTCTAAGGCTGCTCCTGATCATCACACTACATAAAAACATTGAATTTGACATTGTATCGTACTGTACGATACCCTTATCGTACTGTATGATATATCTCGATCCGCACAACGTCTAGCCACTAGCAAATTTCGGCTCTGTTGATCGTACCATACGATCCACATCGTACTGTACGATCTACATCATACTGCTGGTAGTCATTTAATCCATCTGGTACGATATTATTGATCATCGTACGGTACGATATCTCCTCTTCATACTGTACGATCCATATCAGCAAACGGATTGGGACGAATTAACTTGGTTTTGTATGTTATTATTGTTGTTCGTACTGTACGATACATACGTTTCGTACTGTACGATCCACCTAAGCAAACGGATGAGGACAACATAAATGGCTTTGGTACGTTATTAATGTCGTTCGTACAGTATGAAACTTTTGGTCAAAAGTTGTATTGACAACCCTCGGGACGAACGATATTCTACTGAACGTAATGTACGATAATCATCGTACTGTATGTTTTAACCACCTTTTCCCGGTACGAAACATCAAAAGAATTATTGGCCTATCGTACTGTACGATCCTCAATCATATTGTACGAAAATGGAAATTTTATATAAAATGGATGGTTTGGGAGAATTCACTTTACTCAACTCACTCAGTCCCTATCACATTCTAATCAGCCCCTACACAATGTCTGGCTCTAGCAAGAGAGGTCGCTTGGAAGTTGTAATCTCATCTTCCTCTCGCCGCCACACCGCCCGCTTCTTGAATGCCGAAAATGAAGATGCTTACCACAAGTTTCGAACCTGCAATATTACGCCATCCAGACTTCTGAATCAGGAGGCTCTTAACTTCGAGGTACTGAACCTCTTTGCCTCTACCACTCTACAATTCCTTCTCACCCTAGACTTCCCCTATAATTCTGAACTCCTTTTTGAATTCCTTGCAAATCTTACCTATACTGTCAACAATCTCACCTTCAACTCTTTTGTGTGTCGACAAAATGTCCAAATTATAAAAGATGACATCGCCCAATACCTTGGGCTATCTACTGAAGGGCCAAGGGTACGTTCTTTTCTCACAAATGACTTTGACTGGAGTGAGGTTAATCAAGTCCTTAGGAACACCACATTCTATCAACACCAACCTCTAGTCCAATCACTCACTCAAAACTCTAGAATCATTCAACACATCCTTCGAACCTCCATCATACCTAAAGCTGGCGACCGGGTTAACATGACACCGACTCTCTCTGTTGTTACCTATTTAATTATGACCAACACCAAATTTGATGAGGCCGATTTGATAATTGACTATATTCGCCATATGACCTTCATTCGTCTCCTTACCACTCGCCAAAAATAAAATATAGCTCTTGGTCACCTTATAGGATTTATCCTCCAAAACAAATATCAACTGACCTATCCTGGTGAACCCGATAACCTTCCAATCTATTATACAGACACCTCTTTCCATATTTTGTTCCATCGGGGACACGAGCCTGAAGAACCAATTTTTGATGAAGAAGAAGGAGAAGAAGCCCCAGCAGCAGCTCCCGCTAGACCACGACGACATGCAGCACCCCGAGCTCCTGCACCAGCTTACCCTCACGACGATTTGGTCGAACGTTTTCACCAACTTCAGACCCGGCTAGATACGCATATTCAAGAGAAACATCAGCAACACGAGACCGACATGAACTAGTTTGGGGAATGATTCAATGCTATTGATTAATGTTTTGACACGATCCTTAATTACTTTCAGCTACACCCACCTCTACCTCCAAGTGATCAGGATCCTTCTCTTTGAAGTGTTTGTGTTGTATCTTTTCTTTTTCTAGTTTTTGCTCCTCTTTTTGGTGATGTCAAAAGGGGGAGAAGTGTTGTGTTTATCTTATGTTAAATATAATGTTGCATTTCCCTTTATATCATATTGCACTTTTCTTTTCAGTTTTTGTCTTGTTCCTAAAAAAAACAAAATGAAAAAATAAAATGCCTGTCGAACTTGCTAACAACAAAATTATTTGACATCATCAAAAATGGAGAGATTGTTACGACCCATGACCCCGAGGTTGAGATTTTGATGATGCCAAATAATATTGCCCAAACTACTTTTCATTGAATATTATTTTGTCTGTGAGTACTAACATTTCAGGAACATCACAAGCTACTAAGAACAACAAGAAGAATCAAGAATGGCTAAATTAGAAGTATGAGTCGGACAATGTATTTTATTATTTCTTTTATTTTTATTTTCTTGAGTCTGGCCACAACTTGCAGGAAATTCTGAGAAATCATGCACACACACAGGGGGAGGATTTTTAAGAGTAAGAAATATTTGTTTTCAATGTCTGGAGATCGTAGTGTACGAAGATGGTCATACGGTACGATCTGTTACAAACCAAAACCCTAGCCGTCATGTTAACATAAGTAAGATATTTTGCGCCGTTCGTACCGTACGAAGTTCTTCGTACTGTACGATTAATTTAAAATACTTACTTATATTAACCCATGATTAGTGCAGGTAATCAAGGCTTAATTACAAATTAAAAATTGTATTGTATGAACCTATTCGTACAATACGATAAACATAGATGATGTTTGATCGTCCAGAAATTCATCCTAGATGATGCCTTGATTTTTCCTTATCGTACGTACTTTATGATGTAGATCGTATAATACAATAAATAGAGATGATATTTGATCGTCCCGACTATCGTCCTGTACGAGCAGTGTGTTGTGTATCGTACCGTATAATATTATATCATACTGTACGATTAGTTTTAGAATTGTTCGTACACCTTCGTACCAGGACGAAGCTAGTTTGTACATATCGTACTGTACGATGAATAATCGTACTATACGATAGTAACCGCTACTTTTGAAATCAGAGGGATTTTGGAGCCCATTTTTATGTGTTAAACTTGTCATATTTTGGAATGAGAAAAGAGAGGGAGAACGTGAGTAGAGAGAAACATCCTTGAGAGAGCTCTTGAGAAGTTTGAGGGTTGAGAGAGGAAGGAGAAGGTGAGCTTGGTGAGGGAGAAGAGGTGTGAGAGAGATCACATGATTGCTCCAATCTTGCTGCAACTTGCTCCTCCTGTGGCCCGGGAAGAACTTGTGGGAGGCTTTCTAAGGGGGAGACTCGTCTACGTCCGTTGACCTCGAAGGTACTCTGCCTTCTCAAGCAGGGAGAAAAATGAGAAGGTTCTCTGCCGTCACCAGGAGGGTGAAAACAGCGTTTGGCACTCCGCCACGCCGGGTTGGTGAAAGGGAGTATTGTAAGGGCTTCTCCGCCTTGCCGAGG